GATTTCAATTACTATAAGAGCTGATGAATAAGAGAAAATCATAAATGTTTTATTGAACTTACATTACATGGAGATCTTCATAAAAAATGAAGTCCATAGAAATGACCAAAGCATGTTGCTTTTATGCTTTTTAGATAAGGAACAAAAACCTTGTGAAGGAATGACAGGACAAATGGATGTTTAGACTAGGGCAGCAAATTCTAGGGATGCCTCCAGGAGATATATGATGGTGGTGGTGGTGGGGAATCTAAAAGCTAGTAGAAGATAAGAGTTATTTTAAAGAGTTTGTTTATTTAGTTTCACTTTGGCCCCAGTTATCAGTCTCTAGTGATTAAAGCTATTTTCTGGACTTGGAATATGGGAAGGGCACCTCTCCCAAGAGAATCTTTATGGCTTGCTGTATGTGAGAAAAGACAGGCCACATGGTCCTTTCTGAAGTTATAATTCCTCAAGTGATTTCAGCTTGAAATAATCAACATACCAGTTCACATATTTGGGGATGATATGTCCTGAATTCCTCCAAAGCTCGCTAAAAGGATTTTTGTCCTCTAGAAAAAAAATTGAGATAAAGTTCCAGATCTCACAATAATTTTGCAGTTAGAAGCATTTTATCCAGGTAAAGCACTGTGCTTTAATGCTCTTCCGGGTTATGAAGAGGCCAGCAGGTGAGAGCAATGGGAGATGACACTAAGTGATTCTTTACCAGAATCTTTTACTAACCATTGCTCCCTCTTCCTTCTGTTTGCCATGCAGAGGTTTTTTTTTTTTTGTTCTGCTTTTGTGGCTTATGCCTCATTTAGAACTCATCTTGACAATGACAGCTTACAAAAACTGGCAGACTATTAGAGCCCCTGTTACCTAAAATTTTTGCAGTTAGCAGCAGTGACTCATAATGGCTTAGGAAAAAAAAAAAAAAAGGCCCCAAACCTCTGAAAGTAAAAGTACATTCCACCCCCATCCTCTTATGTTGCTTTTTAAAATAAAAAATTATTTCTCTCAAATCTGTGCTTAAACTTGTACAGCGAGGCCCAGTATTTGACAAGCTCCATGATGATTTCTTCATGTATCAGCTGGCATTGTTGAGCACCTGTTCTGTGCCTGGCCCTGTGCGGGCACAGAGCAGGGATATCAAATAAAGTGCCCCCTCCACCACTGGTAAATAGCTAACATGCAAGAGAGGCATGAAACCTCTAGCAGGGATGGGCAAATGGGTGGAGAAGAGCACCCTAGGCCATCAAGGCTTAGAGTAGAGGCACAGGGCATGGGAAATCATGGCAGTAGGCAGCCATGGGCACAGGACCCCTGGACTCTAGCATTAGGATGGTGGAGTGGCTGGAGCTCTGTATTTTTAATGAAACACCTGAGGAAGATGACATTTGAATAGAGGATGCAGAACCTCAGGCTCAGTTTAATTAGGAATATTGTTTTTCTCAACACGAAAGGCCATGATTTCATGGCAGTGTTCTGCAGTCAGTAAGACAGTCTGCAGCTCACAAGAAATGGTTAACTCATAAACACAGTGCTCTGTTCTAAGAGAAGTCTCCAGATCAGTGTTTTATGACAACCCCCAAACCATATGCCTCCAGGAAGCAAGCCTTGCAATACAAAATTAATCTAAGCAACAGCGTCTGATCTAAATAAGAAAAAATGAAAATGGTTGAAAGTCTGTTTTTCTGTTATCTATCCATCTATCTAGGTATCTATCTCCTTATTTGTAACAATAACCTAAGAACTCAGGTGCTGGAGGTGTAGACTGTAACTTCACAACATTTTAACAATGGTGTCTATTATATTTACTGCTAAACTCACACACACACACAGCAGGATAAAAACAAAAATTCAGTTCTGCCTTTGAGACTTTCGAAATAATGGAACTGGGTAAACAAACAGTTGACTGATAAGGGAGTCTTGTCAAAACTCAAATTTTAAGGATTCCCTTTGCCACGTTCTACTAATGGGTTGGCACAAATGCTACTCAAGATTTTGGGTTACAAAATGAAATGAAAATAAATTAGATCCTTTGAGCTAAATAACTAAAAAACATTTTTTCTTCGAGTCTATTTTCTTTTGTCCAGGCCTAATTCACTTTATATGGTTAAAATTATAAGGGGAGTTAGGCAGACAGAGAGCATAATTACTCAAATTGGAGCTTAGCTGCAAGTTGTTGCCCTTACTTATTTTGCTTGCAAGAGAGTTTATTGAAGCCCTGGCCATAAATCTTAACTAGAAAGGTGTGAAAATCAATATTTAATTAATTTTTAGGAGCAGAATTTTATGGAGGACTCCTAGTTGTTTTCAAAAGCTAATGTCTGCCAATAAGATGGTTAATAAATGGTTAAAAATTGAATAACTCCCATATTTTATTTTTGAGCTAAGATAAGAAGAAGAATGTTACCTGAAAGATTGAATGGAAAAGAATGTCTAATAGAAAAAGTGCTTGGTTAGTTGACTAGGGTTTATTCTATAATAAATCCTAGTCTATGACTTTGGCAAAGGAGGAGCAGTTGACCTCAAGGCCCTGACTCTTGGCCCTCAATACCTGACTTTTGGAAGCCTCTGGCTAATTATTTGTGCCCCATCTCCCTCTTTGTTAGGGGTAGGATTGTAGGGCCTACTGCTTTCACTTGAAAGCTCTGCCCACAGTACATCCTCTTTCCTGAAATTGCTAAGGCACAGTTTAGACCAGTTTGGGACATTTTCCTAGGGCTTTACAAAAGACCAAGCCCTCTGGTAAACTCTCAGGACTACCTGAGGAGCTCACTACAATACATGTTCCCAGGTGTCAGTCTCAACTATTCTGATTTTGCAGATCTGGGGTGTGAGGGAAAACCCTCACACCCCCTTCCTGAGGCATGGTGGAAACAAAATATCCAGAGCCAGGAGGAATGCTGGAATGAGGAAATAGGGGCCAAACTCTTGAGATACTCCCATGCATAAAATTAACACTTTGATGGAGGAGGTGGACAACCAATCAACAAGGCCCATGAAAAAGAAACAACCAATCAGCAAAATCCCAAGTAAACCCTATAAAAGCTTACCCCACCCCCGTTCCAGGGCAGCTTGTGCTTCTTTACCTAGCCTTTTCTTTCCTTTTAAATGGCGCTGTAATAAATCTTTGGTTTCTCCCACTCTCCCATCTGGGTAAATTCTTTTACCAACCTCAGCTCTGAAATCCACAGCATGGAATAGGACACAAGAACCTGCATTTACAGTACTTCTCAGCTGATTCTGATGTAGGTGGATCACACCTTAAGAAATGCTGTGAAAGAGACTAGAGTTAGATTTTAATGGTGTTAGAAGGGAAATACAAACATATGCTACCTGTCATTATGGAGGTTCTTAGGGAGCGTGCCCACAAGAACCACAGCAATGGAATCATCACACCAGCGCAGTGAAACACTCCAGGAAGCTGCCCTAGAGAAAATGGGTCAGGTTTAGGCAGTCCAGGAATGCCTTGGGGACCCGCCAGAACTGCCCTGGACTACCAGCTTCCTCCTGGAAGCAGGCATGGAACATAGGATAAGAAAGGTGCCTATGTTCAAGGCACCTAATCTGCCCACTAGGTAGATTAGACACATGGAGCTCTGACTAAATACATTAGCAACTCCTCTGTCCTTGGGTGGGTAGGGGGTGGGGAAGAGGAAGAAGCAGGCAGAGGCAGAATTTCCTTTTTTCTCTGAGAGACTAGTAGATGAATTATAGAAGTGAACATGCAGATTACTCAGCTAATAAACGTAGACTGTAGCAGTTGCCTGAGAGAGGGTTTAATTCCATATTCTGGTATTTTTTCCTCTTTAAAAAGTGGTTGGAGACAGAAGTAGAAAAGAGAATCTAGCATTTTTACTTAAAGACACAGCCAGGATAGTCTTGCCAGGCTAGCCCTGGAATAGAACAGGCTAGCCCTGGGTACTAGTTGGATAGGCTCCAGTGATAGGCTCTTCTTAGATTAAAACTCTGGACAATCAGTTAAGCAAAAGGATCAGGCAATCCTCTGTGCAAATTGCACTCACCTCAAACGCAAGTCAGCCTCCCTTATCAAGTACATTTGTTTAATGTGCGCTTGAAAGAAAAGACTTATTTCTGCTTGACTTAGCTCCACATTCCTTTGTTTTCTCATCTAAACTTGATGGATCAGTTAAGAGAAGTGCTTTGGTTAGCTCCTAAGAGTCTCCTGCCTGGGGCTGCTACCCTCCTCTCCCAGGAGCTGGCTCATTGGAGCATCTTATCACAAGAATGTGTCTTATCAGCAGGGACTACTTTGTAATTTCACTTGACTCAAGATCAGCTTTCTACCTTGGCTAACATGTACCACCTTTCTTTTGTGTGTGTGTGTGTGTGTGTGTGTGTGTGGTTTTAGCTGTTTTTATTATCTTTATTTCAACCTTTAGAAGAACATAGAAAAATATTCTTTTTTGTTCATGTGAAGTTCTTTTGCACAAAAGTGCATTTAATGGCTTGTATATTTCTTTCTTTTTTTTTTTTTTTTTACCTTTCTGACTTCAGTGGCCCCATCTTATCTGCCGAATTAAAGGACAGATAGTCTTGTGAGTATCTTTCTGAGATCTGTGCCTGTGATTGTAGCACACATCTTGCAGAAGGGCACCATGTTGTTCTCTGTGCCTGGGATGTCATTCTTGGTCTGAGCCTCCCGTCAACTTCTGTTCATCCACCCAAACTAACACACTTTTGCAAAGCCTCTTGGCCCCTTCCCCCTCCCATCTCTGCTCCTGATTTGCTTTCTGGGCAAATAGATATCGTAGCTCCTAATTCCCCTTCAAACCTGCACTGAGTCTCCATGAGATTACTTTTTATCTGCTATGTAATTGAAATTCCTCCTAACATTTTACAGCAGTCTTGTGGTTCCCTGGGGAAGAGAGTAGTTAGCTGTGGAAGACATAACTCTCCTATTAAGGTTTTCAGGAATGGGAAAAGCAATAAGTCTCTACCTGATTTATCACTCAACATTTTAAATTATTCATATTGATTTCCAATCCTTACAGATTGCATGCAACCACGTGAGTACAGACAGCCTGAGTAAGGACTCCAGCCCTGCCCAGAAGCCCTGGTTGGTGTGTCTTGATGACAGGTTTGGCTTAGCTCATCAGATCCGCAACAAGCAGTGCCGCCTCTACTCGCTAGGGTGAGTACATTTTTTGCAGCAGAAGAAAACACAAACATTCAAGAGGGCAGCCACAGCTGCTTAGCAACACAATTGTGACTGGTAGCAGTGTGTCCAGATGCTATGCTTTGGTTCATGTCACTGTTTGGCACTGATCGGCTCTGCAGCTGTGGACATATGCAGATCGCTGAGGTCTCCTTCACCAGGGCCACTTTCCGCCCCCACATTGTGCTGGTAATAAGTTGGCTGCTTCAGTTCTCAACATAAGGATAATCCTCCCGGTGAAAGTGATGATTTCCAGATATAATTAGAGCACCCTTGTTATAAAAAGAAAGAAGACTATTAATGAACATGGCTAGAAAAAGAGAGTAGGTAAGAAATTTTATACATAGTTATGAATGATCCAAGACAAATAATGTCCATTATTGGATTTCTATGATTTGTACCAAGGAAAAATTTATGTATGACCAGGTGTGGTGACTCACACCTGTAATTTTAGCTACTTGGATGGTGGAGGACCATGGTTTGAGGCCAACCTGAGCAAAAAAACTTAGCTACACCATATCTCAAAAGACAAGTCAGGTATGGTGGCCATCCATGTAATCACAGCTACATAGGAGGCAAAAGTAGAAAGGATGAGGTTCAAGCCAGCCTTGAGCAGAAGTGTGAGATTCTCTCTGAAAAAAATAAACTAAAGCAAACAGGACTGGAGACATAACTCAAGTGGCAGAGTGCTTACCTGGCAATTGCAAGGTCCTGTATTCAATCTAGTACTGCCAAAAAAATGTATAGTTTTATACTTCAATAAAAAGGAAATAAAGGGCACTCTTACAAAAAAAGTGAGAAAAATTGATATTCAGTTGAAAATGACCTTGACATACAAATGAATTTCGAGAGCTTTTTACAGAAGAATGGGTTTAAAGTAATGAAACTACTTCACCAAATGCATCAGTACTTTTATAAACAGTCCTGAACTTACAAATGATATGTCTCAAAATAAAGGAGGAGAGAATCATTTCTATTTGGAGCAGCCTGTCTCGTAGACTGGCTGTAGGCGTGATGAAGGTTCTTAGGCTAGACTTCTGAAGTCCTTTTCGAGCAGTACTGGGGACCCTAAAGAATGCCAAATGCCTGTTCCTCACCTGTAGGTTTCACTATTCCCTCTACAGTCTACATTCAGACAACTAGTAAGACTCTGGGTGGTCATGGTTAGGGGCAGACATTTGGTGATGTGGAGACCTCCCCAAAGGTGCCAATGTGGAGAGGATCATGATTGCTCTCAAACTATGGCAAACAAGAATTAATAATCAGCAGGGTTTAAAAAAAAAAAAAGCAGCTGGGTGCCAGTGGCTCACAGCTATAATCCTACCTACTCAGGCGGTAGAGATCAGGAGGATTGCAGTTCAAAGCCAGCCTGGTCAATTAGTTCATGAGACCGTATCTTGAAAAGACCTAACACAAAAAGGGCTGGTGGAGTGGCTCAAGGTGTAGGCTTTGAGTTCAAGCCCTGATAACACACACACACACACACACACAGAGCAAACAAGAGATTCAAATAAGACTTTAAACATAATGGAAATATTTTAGCCAGGTACCTTGGCTCACACCTGTAATCCTAGCTACTTTGGAGGTGGAGCTCTAAAGATAGCAGTTCAAGGATGGACCTAGGGAAAAAGTCCAAGAGACCCTATCTCAACCAATAAAAACAGGTGGCACACACCTGTCATGCCAACTAGGTGGGAAGATTAAATAAGAGGATCACAGTCCAGACCAGCTTGGGCATATATGTGAAACCCTATTTGAAAATAACTAAAGCAGGGTTAGTGGAGCGGCTCAAGTGGTAGAGTGCCTGCCTAGCAAATGTGAGGCCCTGAGTTCAAACCCCACCACCAAAAAACCCAAACAAACAAGCAAGCAAGCAAACAAATGAAAACAACTAAAGCAAAAAAAGGGGACTGGAGGCATGCTAAAACCCCATACCACCAAAAAAAAAAAAAGATAATAGAAACTTTTTAAAAATGAATATCTACAGATAGTGTCTATCAGTGGGGGTTGGCACACAATAGGCACTCAATATTTGCTGTGTAAGTGACTGAGGGGAGGAGGCCAGGAGGGAGTCTAGTTCTGCAGTGTGGTGAATGGGAGGCTTGGATTGGATGCTGAGCTGCTTGGCCAGTCAGTTAAAGCTGAGCTCTTCTCCTGGGAGTCCATCAGCTATGCATCAAAATGGTAGGAAGAATGGGACATTGTGACAGCAGAGTTTATGTCACATTAAAAATTTATGGAAATAGGTCAGGAAATAATTGCGTAGTACCACAAGCAAATTGGAGATCTCAGCTTGGTCCTGTTTTCTTGCTGCAAACTGGCTTTGTATTTTACTTAGTATTTTACATCCTGGACTATTCCACTTAAAACATATAACAGAGTAAAATAAAACTTGGGAAGTTGTCTTGGGAGCATAAAATTTCTATTACTTTCATTTTAAATGTTTACCATTCAAAATCAGCTTTATAAAAGGCAGATGAGCAGTTATAGGGTCAATATTTAATGAAGAACATAAAAGTGTTGATTGAAAACTGGGAACTACAGAAAATATTTATAGTGGCTGAAGAAGAATGCTTTGGATTTTGGTGAGGATGTGGGGCGTCGTGTGGCCCATGGCTATGGCAGCCAGACCATGCCTATGTTGTGCATAGTAATGAATTCCCAGGCAAACTGGAGATGCAGCTGCAATTGGAGGGGTGACTCTCCTGGGGACACAGGTGCCAGAAAACAAAGGCCAATGGCTGTCCCAGCTCCTCTCTACCATCTCAGCAGCTGGGGCAGGTATCCTTCTCTGATGGCTGAAATTTCTTTACCAGGAGTCAAAGCAGATGTAAAAGACTGTGTGCTGTCTGGTACGGTGTACTCTGTGATGTTCTGATGAAAATTAAAATCAGAGCCTTTTTAGTTTTGAAATGGGGTTGAATAGACTGGTGGAAGATAGGGGAAGGCACTGGACAGAAAGGTACAAATTACAGAGAAGGGGAAAGAGAAGAGAAATAGAAAGAGGCTGTGTGCTGCAAGGATAATTATCACCCACCTGGCAACTTCTGGTAGGGTCTTCCCACAGTCTTCCTGCATAGATGGTGGAGGGGAGATGTTGGGGCGCTGGTAAGAGAGGGCAGGGGGGTGAAGGGTAGATAAAGAGGGAAATAGTGTCTATTTTCCTTTTCAGGTCAAAGAATATATTTTAGGGGAAGAGCCAGGTATGGAGGGGAAGACTTGGGAAGAGATAATACATCAATAAACATTCTTCATCTCTTTTCGAGTTGTGGTAGGTTGTAATATTTGGTTTCAAGACATAAATTCTTACTATAAGACAGAAAGAGATTTCTTTTTTTTTTTTCATTTTTCTTTTATTATTCATATGTGCATACAAGGCTTGGTTCATTTCTCCCCCCTGCCCCCACCCCCTCCCTTACCACCCACTCCGCCCCCTCCCTTCCCCCCCCAATACCCAGCAGAAACTATTTTGCCCTTATTCTAATTTTGTTGTAGAGAGAGTATAAGCAATAATAGGAAGGAACAAGGGTTTTTGCTGGTTGAGATAAGGATAGCTATACAGGGATTGACTCACATTGATTTCCTGTGCGTGGGTGTTACCTTCTAGGTTAATTCTTTTTGATCTAACCTTTTCTCTAGTTCCTGGTCCCCTTTTCCTATTGGCCTCAGTTGCTTTAAGGTATCTGCTTTAGTTTCTCTGCGTTAAGGGCAACAAATGCTAGCTAATTTTTTAGGTGTCTTACCTATCCTCACCCCTCCCTTGTGTGCTCTCGCTTTTATCATGTGCTCATAGTCCAATCCCCTTGTTGTGTTTGCCCTTGATCTAATGTCCACATATGAGGGAGAACATACGATTTTTGGTCTTTTGGCCAGGCTAACCTCACTCAGAATGATGTTCTCCAATTCCATCCATTTACCAGCGAATGATAACATTTCGTTCTTCTTCATGGCTGCATAAAATTCCATTGTGTATAGATACCACATTTTCTTAATCCATTCGTCAGTGGTGGGGCATCTTGGCTGTTTCCATAACTTGGCTATTGTGAATAGTGCCGCAATAAACATGGATGTGCAGGTGCCTCTGGAGTAACAGTCTTTTGGGTATATCCCCAAGAGTGGTATTGCTGGATCAAATGGTAGATCGATGTCCAGCTTTTTAAGTAGCCTCCAAATTTTTTTCCAGAGTGGTTGTACTAGTCTACATTCCCACCAACAGTGTAAGAGGGTTCCTTTTTCCCCGCATCCTCGCCAACACCTGTTGTTGGTGGTGTTGCTGATGATGGCTATTCTAACAGGGGTGAGGTGGAATCTTAGTGTGGTTTTAATTTGCATTTCCTTTATTGCTAGAGATGGTGAGCATTTTTTCATGTGTTTTCTGGCCATTTGAATTTCTTCTTTTGAGAAAGTTCTGTTTAGTTCACGTGCCCATTTCTTTATTGGTTCATTAGTTTTGGGAGAATTTAGTTTTTTAAGTTCCCTGTATATTCTGGTTATCAGTCCTTTATCTGATGTATAGTTGGCAAATATTTTCTCCCACTCTGTGGGTGTTCTCTTCAGTTTAGAGACCATTTCTTTTGATGAACAGAAGCTTTTTAGTTTTATGAGGTCCCATTTATCTATGCTATCTCTTAGTTGCTGTGCTGCTGGGGTTTCATTGAGAAAGTTCTTACCTATACCTACTAACTCCAGAGTATTTCCTACTCTCAGAAAGAGATTTCATAAGTGGCACATGGATAGGCAACAGAGCCAATATTTTATTCAGAAAATCTGGAACTTTCGGTTGCTGTGAACATTTTAAGAAGAATGAGTGAGATCCATAGCCAAATATTTTCCTCTTATTGTAGTTTCATTTGGACAGAAGGAATATGTGAGTGAGGAATCGGAAAATTGTGGACCCCAAGGTTCCTTTTGAGATATTTTCTGCTGATTCTCTCTCCATGACCTTATACTATCACAGATGTAGTTTTATTTTCTTT